AAAAGATTGATCAATATTAAAATTTCTTTATATCCACTACCTATATTATGTACGAATAGATTCCAAACATATCTTTTCATTTGCAGATTCATGCGAAACAATATGAAAAAAAAATCGAAATTTGTTTTTCTTTCATTTCTACACAGTAGAGCGAAACTGTTGTTTTATGCTATTAGTTTGTCGGCGCTGTCGAAGCTCAAGGCAATCACTGTGCCACTACTTTATTGTTCTCTGATGCAACAACAACAATTGCTTCATCTTACTGGAGATTCCTGAGAAACATAACTAAAAATAATTCGAATTTTGTTTTCTTTCATTTTTACACGGTAGAGCGAAAGTGCTGTTTTACAATAGTAGCTGTTGAGTGCTATCGAAGCTTGATGTAATCATTGCACAACTCGTTTGCAATTCTTTCATGGAACAGAAACTGGTGATTTCTGTAAAGGCAAATTCATGATCAACATCAACATGAATACGTCGTAATTCATGTTTTTCTTTTCTGCATAGCAACGAGGATATATTCTCTCATAGTATTTATTTGTGGGCACTACTGAAGCCTGGAGCGAACATCACACAAGCAGTTTACCTTTCTCTCACAGAACAGAAATAGTTGTCTTTTCTGTCTGGCAGATTCGTGGTAAACATAAGCATGAATAATTCGAAATTCTTGTTTTTTTTCTGCGTAATAACGCGAAACTGTTGCTTTAGTGTATTTGTATGTGTACACTGTCGAAGCTCGAGCAATCATCTTGCAACTACTTTACAGTTCTTTTATCGAACGGAGACACTGGCCTTTTATTATTACAGAATCATGAAAAACATGAGCATGAAAAATTCGAATTCATTTGTTTTTCTTTCTGTACAGTAAGAGGAGGCTGTTGCTGTATTGTATTTTTTGTGTTTATAACAGAATAATATTCAAAAGCATCATTGGATGCGTTTCGCTTACTGCATAGCTAATCATGAAAAGATATGTTTGGAATCTATTCGTACATAATATAGGTAGTGGATATAAAGAAATTTTAATATTGATCAATCTTTTGAAAAAGAGTGACGTATATATATACAGAGATTTAAGGTAGCGAGTGATCTACTAATCTCAGTTGTTGTTTTTCAGAAATTGATATTTCTTGATCTAGAATGAGATAGTGATAAGTATTGATGTTTACGCCATTTAATGAAAGAGTAAAATGAATAGGTAATAACATTGATATGTTTCGCGTCATATATTTTTTTTAAATTAAATACGCATTTTTGAGAACAGTCGAGTAAACCATGTCGCGCTTGAAGAATGAACAGTTCCTAATACTATGAAAATTTTTCTAAGTGTACATGTTGCATTGAATCTTCTTGTTTCATGATGGCGCTTTTCTTGGGCGCTCATGATTATTATTCTTCACCAGTGTCTAGAAAAATTGCGTTGGTAATAATACTAAAAATATCCTAGAATCGTCAACAACACTTTTTATTACGGCTTCGCTTCAGGTGAGGATCAATTTACGCGTTTTTTTCTCTTGTCAGTGCATAGAATAGCAACTACGCATAAATAAACAGTGTGTTTGCTTCGAGGGTGTGTTGAAATTAGAAATGATTCGAAAATCAAATCAATATATATACAAAGCTAGCAAGACCGGGTTCGACTATTGCTAAAAATAGTCAATTATCAATTGCTTAGTATAAGATGGAAAATTATTATTAAGAAGTTTTTAGATTGAAAGCATCACACGACTAGTTTCGTCCTTGCTTAAGGGACTCTACGGGCATGTCTACAAACTATTAGTACATATTTCTATAACTCTCCAATTTGAAGAAGTTAAAGATAAAATCATACTAATCTCCAAATAACAATATTAAATTATTATTAAGAAGTTTTTAGATTGAAAGCATCACACGACTAGTTTCGTCCTTGCTTAAGGGACTCCACGGGCATGTCTACAATCTATTAGTACATATTTCTATAACTCTCAAATTTGAAGAAGTTAAAGATAAAATCATACTAATCTCCAAATATAAGTAATCATGCATGGATGTAATGCATGGTGAATAAATAATAAAAGGAATGACGCCGAGAATGGGACTCGAACCACATATCTTCCGATTACCGGTCGGCTGCTCTACCAGTTGAGCTATCCCCACGCATTCAGACATTATTTATTCTTTTACATCACTTATCCAGAACTAGCTAACACACACAACAGGATAACGATCGAAACCGCCATCTATCAGATGTAAGTGATAACTAAATACACAGACTAATGGGAGCATAACTCCCACTCATCCGTAAATGGATCACCCTACTGTATTCACAAATATAAGTAATCATGCATGGATGTAATGCATGGTGAATAAATAATAAAAGGAATGACGCCGAGTTTAATGGTATAAAATCATTAAATAGATGATTGAGATTGAAAGCATCACACGACGTTTCGTCCTTGCTTAAGAGACTCATCAGGCATGTTTACAATCTATAGTACATATTTCCAATAAAATAGGAGATAAGATTTTAAATTCAGAGCATCACACGACTAGTTTCGTCCTTGCTTAAGGGACTCTACGGGCATGTTTAGAATTTATTATAAAAGAGTTTTGGAGATTGAGAGCATCACACGACGCGTTTCGATCAGGGCTTAATCTGATCTTCATCAGGCATGTTAGAAACTTATAGTTGCGTAAAAGTCAGAAACAGGTCGTGGTTGTCTCTCGGATTGCCAGGATCTTAAGGGTTTCCTATTACCGACATGTGCAACTGCTCAGTTAGCTTTTACACTGTCGTTGTTCTCCGAAATGACTCAATACTATGTTTGAAAGGAATCACAAAGAGAACACAATGATGTAGCTGAATTCAAGCAGTTGAGAAAAAAATTTATTGGTTTGATAAAGTTGATGTCACTCAACTAAGTATGAATCAGGAAAATCACAATGTGTTGTGCTGTATCAAAGCGCTTTGTCATCAGTTTAGTAAGAAATTGCATTTTAATTAGCATTCTAAATCAAGGTAGGATGCGTATCTGCTTCTGTATATAAGCAGAAAGTTAAGGACAGTACTGTTTGAACTCAAACACAGAATGCACAAATTTGTGCATCAACTTCTTCGTCATATTTTTATTGGGTTAACCGCAATAATTTATCCTTGGTTAATATTGCTGCAGCTTATGAACTGCTTATTAGTATAATGAACCATATACACGACAGGTTTGAACTTGTTAATTCATAGTTTTAACATGTCTCTATGATATTCGATGAGTTTTACATAATCACTAGTGGTTCGTTGAATTGGAGAGTAGTGTCTCGTTGTGCAATGTGCAAGTTTATATTAGGTAATAAAAAAGGTGACAATGTAAAAGAATGAATGTAATTCCCTTTGATGTGACCATGCAATGAAAGAAGACCACTGGAGAGCAATGGATCTGTATTATTATCGTCTTACAAAGTGTCCATGAATCACTAAGAGTTTCTTACAATGTTCGGATTCTTCATTACATTTAATTTTCTATTCGTTCCTTCGTGAATTCGTGACAGCCTTTGGCCATCCTTGCTACTGTTGCGTTTGTACCATCTTATGGATGTTGTTCATTTATATTGAATTGAACAATGTATTCGAAACGTCGGAAGCAATATAGTTGTAGCTTTCCCCATCTGAGAATATTCTTAGGTCAGTATTATTTCAATTCGTTTATTTGAGAAACATAATAGTGCATATATATCGTATAGAGAACAAATTTTATCGATTATGTAATCCTCCAAGCAGTCTCAAAATTAAAAACAGTGTATTCTCATTTTGGATATCGTAATCTTGAACTGTTTTCTGATCAATGAGTTGTTTGCCTGCCCACATCAGTCTTTGCTGTTCGATAGGAATTCCATTTCGTTCAAAAATTTTCTTCTTGACTGTGATGATCAGATCACTTGGTTCAACCTGTAAAACAACTGTAAACCAATGTTAATGTATGCTTCTACTTTTACCGTAATACTGAGTGTCCGATCATTCAAATCTTTCACGAAAATTTGCATGAATGCTGTTGCCTTTTACTTGTGCAGAAAAAGTCGACGAATAATGTTTATCGTTAGATCAGCGCAGAAGTTTAAAAAAATTCAATTTATAAACGTCTGCAAATGAAAAATAACGAAAAAGAGTATGACCATATGGAAGAAATATATGATGCATTTTATCTGAAGTGTGGAAAAAAATTAAACAGTCACAGACGCTCCATTTGAAGTGGAAAAAAACAAAGAGAATCGAAGAAAAATGATGTTGCACAATAGGTGTGCAACGTGAGCTCATTTTTTTTCAGAAAAAAAAAATAATCGTGACTGACAAATAAAAGTTCATTTAAACATTTTGTAAAATATGTGTTTTGCTTTTGATGTTAATTTTGCTTAGTGAGATCTATATCGAAATTAGAATTGAATTAGTAGTTCAGTGATTCGTCGAGATTTTTTTGTCTACTATTATTATCGTTGTTTGATGATTGTTTTTTGTTTTCTTTTTTTATCGAATGACGTATGTCATTTTCTTACAAACGAGAAATAAACCTTACAGTAGCTGGAAAGAAGAACTTACGTGTAGATCGATAGATACATTCGAGCAAATATGTATAGATAAACAACGGTAAGGTTATGTCGATATACATGTTTAATGCTCATTCTGGAGATATTTATTCTCACCCGTTTTTTCAATATGTCATTTCTATTGATTATACAGAATGCACGAATAAATATTGATATTATTTATTTTTTTTAGAATGGCAACGGCGAAAGGATTCATTGCATCAGCGATCAATTTAAATACCGATTTACAAGAATCACTCATATGTTCGATCCATCGTGGTCTTCTTTCACATCCAATGATTTTACCTTGCAAAGCTAAACATCGTCTTTGTAAAGAATGTATGGAAAATTTAATTGGCACAGAAAAACGAATTACTTGTCCAGAAGATCGAGAATCACATCCAGTACCAGCCAATTGGACTACTGAATGGTTTGATCGCGTCCTAAATGATGTTACTTCGTTGCTGCAGGTAAATGAGCGAGATGTGAATCAGAAAATCATCAAATTCGTAGAAAAATCCTATTCACTGTTTGGTCCACAGCAAGAGCATCTACGTATAAAATCGGTTGAATTAGTTTCGAATGTTAAGTTGAAAGACGCATTCGAGAAGTTTAAACATACCATTGGTAAACCGGGAGTCGTAACGTTACTACACGGTACGACACGAAAGGCTGCTCTTTCAATTTGTGGACAAGGGTTTCGTATTCCTGTAAGTTTCGATCGAGATCCAACCAATCCCAACGAAGGTGAATTGAAATTTGGCAAAGCAATTTATTTCGCAGAGGCAAAAAAGGCAACTGAATACGGGAAAAATACGCTTGTTCTCGCTGACTGTATCCTTGGTAATGTTCAAGAAAAAAATGAATCAGAACTTAAATTGACACCAGAAATAATGCAACTACGTGGTTATAACTCGATTCATTATTTCAATGCCGAAGAAGGTCTTGTCAATCAAGAATGGGCTGTGTATAAAACTGAACAATGCTATCCACTTTGCATAATAGACTACGAGTTTCTAGATCAAAACAGTGCATCTGAACAGGAACTTGTGGAGAAGATCAACAAAATGAATCACGAAACTCCTGATTGGGCTATTCTTCATAAAGCATTGAATGGTACGGACAATCAATGTAAAGAGGCACTGAGATTTATTGGAGATGCTGGCAGGAAAGGTTCATCACAAGCCAGCAGATTGATGTATCTTCTTTTACAGTCTTTGACTAAAGAACAAGTTAACTCCCTATTGAAACGCCCAAATGAAACGATTCGTATTTTATTTCTACGTGCACTCTGGCAAACCGGTAGACGTGATCACAATATTCAATCTTACATACACGACGCTTTGGATTGGCCATTACTTTGCGAATCATTACATTCAAGTTATGCTGATGTTTCATGGCGCGCTTGTGGTGTTATAACCAACATAGCGAGTATGGTAGCTCATGTTCGTCCTCTACTTGTTTCATCGGACGTATTGAATAAATTAATGTCTTTACTCAAACGAGCCGTTCAATTTACAGACAAAATTTGCATATTAACTGTTCTCAATCTTCTATCGAATATTGCTGTTACAGAACATGATGTCATGAAACAAAAAAGAGATATTCTCGACTATATCAATGGTCATTTACTTGATCATCCAGATGAAGAAATAGAAGAAGCTGGAAATCGACTCTTTTGTAATATTATCGCCAAAGGTACAGTGGTTCCTGGTTGGCAACAAAAAGGTTATAAGAGTGCAGTGATGGCACCAACTATTCAATAGATTATGAACTATATCCAACTTGTCCTTTAATAATCAGTTGTTATTAAATAAAGGACACCCACACCGGAAAATGTGTTTTATTATTATTCAGAAATTTTAGATTGAAAGAATCACATGAATATATTCGTCGTTGCTTAAGGGACTCTACGGAAATGCTGACCATCTATTATTACATAAGAATTCCAAACTCTCCAGTATTTTGAAGTAGTTTAGAACTATTTCGTAATAATAAAATCCAGTATAATCCTATTTATGTATACGACATTTTGAGCTTCAGAGCATCACATGACTAATGTTATAATAAATATATAGTTGAAATTCAAAGCATCACACGACGCGTTTCGACCTTGCTTAAGGGTCTATCATCATGCATGTTTACAATCTATTATTACATATAAATTCCAAACTCTTCAGTAATTTGATGAAGTTAAAAAATTTTTCACCGACAGTGGCGATACAGAGTACCAGAACGAGTTTTGACTTGACTTTAAGGCTCATCGTCTGGCTTATGCTGCAAACGATTGCAGTAAAATTCCATGTGATACGAATATCACATATCTATGTGTATCGGTTGGGGTATATATATTGAAATTGATTACTGAGAAAGAAATCGGTGAATGGGTAGTGGTCACCGAATATTAGTGACATCTTGGATGTTCCATATCTCTTGTTTCTATTCAGAGGTGGACTTCATTGGTCACCCAGTTACATATATACTAGTTTACGAAAGGATCATTAATACAGAATTGTTCGACATCTCGTCGATATCGGGAAAGCATTGTATTCAATTGAAAATAGATTGACCTATCTCTAAATGAAAAGACATGTTCTATCCGCTAGTCTCAACACTTGCTTTTCTGCAATTGATTTCATGTCGAAAATAAAAATAAAATTGAATAAATATAAATAAATATGCTTCAATTAAAATAATGAAAGAAATGCAGTGTTAATTTTACCGACGCTTTTCGTCTCTTTTACAAGATAGTACTCTTCAGGGCTAGAGATGTATGTATGTACCACAGAAAATGCAAGATAATTATTATTGTAAATAAATACCTGAAAGCTGACATGAATCAGAAAGGGGAGTCATTTTTTTAGACTTATTTAATATAGAGACAAACTGATTGAATTCCTGAGTTCATACATTAGATCACCATGAAAAACTTTTATCCATCCTAAAATTGAAGAATATTTTGAACTTAACAAATAGAAAACGTAGATTAATTTTTACTTTATTATTCGCCTGATGTTTTTTTTTATATAGTCGTAGGCTTGTTGATGACTCGAATGTTCGTTGATAGTCATCGAGAGTTTTGTGATAGCTGGGCATTCATAAAAATCACTATTTTCAGTATAAAGTTTTTCATGAAATGTATATGTAATAGCATTTGATAGGGACCATTGATCATTTGAATATTTAAATATCCGAATATTCTATTGTACCATATATTAAAATCTTCTTTTATATTAACTAATCAAATTTCATCAAGATTATCATAGATGAAGATATCAGAATCTCTATAATCCATTAAAGTAATATTCGATATTACCCCATGTTTGAATGATATTCGATGAATCGAAAATAGGTAACAATAATTGATCTATTCAATGGTACGAAGGGATCCAGTTGAGGAAGATTGCAATCGTTGCAATTATTGATTGTCACTCTGGTATAAATTCTATTTCAATAAACCTTCTATTGAATATTTTATCATATTGAGGAAGCATTTGTAGACCTTCTTGTTTGTTTAGCTTGAATGATTAATTCTTCTACTATTGTATGCAACGATGCAACATCAACATAAAATTTCATAAATCTTTCATTTCTTTAGACTTCTTGACTCTAGTATTCTTCATATATGTGTTCTATAATTCTTCTTTTAAAGATTCGACAATACGGGTCGATGTGGGTACGTTAGAGCTACCACAAGGCGTTTCGATGCTGCTAAAGATCTCATCATGTGAATTAAGTGTTTAATTTGATTCAATAAAGAATCGATTCAATATCAACGATACTCTTTTAACTATATCAAGTAGAATAATCATATACTCAACAATAGCATGTCACAGAAATAAAAGAGTAGTACAAAAGCATTGAGTAGTTTCCAGTCGATATAAAATAAATTGATAGAATTCAGTTCCACTTGGGAAACCAACAGTTTAAATGTACATGAAATAGATTGAAATAACGGTAAGTCAGTTTTTATGCAAGGATAAATGAAACAATTAAGCTAGTAATATCACCCTATCTTGTTGAAGAATTTGCAAATCATTTGCGAAATCTTAAAATTGAGCATTCAATTACAAAGACTAGAATGAACACAACTTTATTTGTATTTTGAACTCCTTGATGAATAAATATACATACGGGTACGATTGTATGTATAGAATCCTGTTATGTATGAGTTGTTCGTGTAACAATCATCTTCCAAATCCTTTAAAACATTCCCTCATGACAAGGAAAAACACAAAAACTGCATGCCAATTAAATAGGATGCTCATTTTAATTTTTTAATGTACTCTCATGATATGTGATAAGATTTTAATTATTAATAATATATTGTCAGATTGTGTTTAAAGAGAAAAAGCAAACGAGAGATAAACTAGCACACGCTTTGCATTGCTATTTTCGACTCAATTAGATACAACTCTATTTCAGTAACAACAAACTTTCGCTAATGAGTAACAATGACTGGTCGTTATTATACAATATCCAACCAAAAGATGTATTTGAGTAGCTACTACCTGTTTTAATTGTTTTTCATAAGCTCCTACAGCTGTCATCGAAGAGTTGAGTAATATGTTTAAATATTTGTCTCGAAAACGATGTAAATATCGAGATGGGATTGGTCAACGTAGCACAGAACATCCTGTACAGTGCATATATGTTGACACCATAGAATATATAGTAATTTAATTCTGTACAGCATTCTTTATCCCCCTCTTCCATGCAAACAAATAAATTCTGTTTAACAGAGTAATAATAACAGATGCATTTGTTCATTTCACCTATTTATAGCACATGTGATTAAATTAATATTTAACTTTCAAAAGAGTAAATGAGAAACTACCATTCTAAAAGTCATCAAAAAGATCCTAGCAGTGGTTCGTAGAACATTTCAAAATAAGAACATGGCTACTTTCACTGAAGATAGGCTTCTCTCACATCATTACTTTTAATCTCATAATACAAAAGGCGTCATGGATATGTTATTATGAGATTTTCAATTGTGACGTAAACGTCCCATTACAGCTAATGGTACCAAATACTTATAAGAATGATTGGTTCTGCGCCTGAATGACAACATCTCGGTAGCAGTTCTGTATCCATATGCGACGTTTCCAAAATATCAATGAGTCAAATCATTGCCGCCTCTAAAAACATTAACATAAACCGCCATCGATTCCAACTGCGAATGTCTCTTGGCTCGACCTGTCTCTAAGAGAATGGACCCATATAACTATATTGCACAATCATCCATCCACATGTAGAATTACCAGGAACCATCCATCTCGATACATCACAGATGTCACGGACACTACAAGAAGGATCTAAACAAAAGCTACTGAATTGAATCTTTTGGTACATGAGCGAGCCACTATACCAGAAACAAACCATACAATGGGCTATTTAATTTCAGTCTGAATTTATCAAATAAAAATAATACTTTATTTCAAACTGAAACGTGAGTCTAGGAGTGAGGGGGGTGGGTGACTGAGGGTGTGGGTGTTGGTCT